AAACTCCTTCCCCCAATGAATTCCCAGCTTGTCCTGCTAATGTGTTATGTTTTCTCTAACTAATAAACATTTCAGTTTTTCTAATGTTTTTATTGGGTTTTCTGCTAGTCTTTCATAACCTTTCCAAGGATATGTGTTACTCAAAGCCACCACTAGACTTCAGAGCAAGTTGTTTTTTACCAATAACTCAGCCTCTAAAAAAAAAAAAAGCTTGTACAAATTGCTGAATGTGCAATTGCTATTTTGTTGTTCTGGACACAAAGGGGGAATTTATTAAAACTGGAGCAGACAAAATCTGGAGCAGTTGCCCAGGGCAACCAATCAGCTGCTCTCTTCAGTTTGTTTAGTTAAGATTTGAAAATGAAAGATGGAAGCTGATTGGTTGCCATGCACAACTGCTCCAGTTTTCATAAATTCCCCTCAGTGAATGCCGTGTATTGCCTGAGGTAGGCTTTTTTGTCTGCTAAAAGCCCAAAGCTTTGTGGAACATTTTCTTTTCCTAAACAATTATTGTCTTTTTTTTGTTCTTGAAATTCTGTTTATAGCTGGAGTTACTGCCTAACTCCAGGCAGTTAAAAAAAAAAAAATCATAAAAGTTGTGCATATTCTCTCTTTAGCTGATGAAGCATTTGTGTTGATTTTGTCAGAGGGAAGATCTAACACAGGGTAATAGTTGTCTTGGCCCATGGTACCTCAGTGTTCATCCCTTTTGTTGTAATAACTAATCCACTGAAGTCATTGTTCTTGCAGGTCTTCAACTAGTCTTTGTTATAACGCCTCCTGCTGATGTCATCACATATAATGCAGGAACTGCAGCCACCGCTTGTCCTGTATTGTATATGATGGCCTAGCACTGGAGAGAAGAGGATCAGTGCACTGGTGGCGTGGGCTAAGGTAGGTTTTTACGCTGTTATATCATTCCCTTAACAAACCTAATAATACATTGTTACCATTTTGAGAGGGCACAATTTTTATGATTTATGGACTGCCCATAATTTCAATTTAACTAAACCCTGTTCCAGAGTCAGTCATACACCCATGATTGCTAATACGGCTGTTAATGTCAAAAATACCTAAAATAAAGGAGGAACGTGCCTCATAAAATACACACCTGTGCACATAAAACTCACAAACACAGTAATTACAGTTGTGATAAAACCCATGTCATGTTGCAACATAAAGCTTGATTTCATCTCCAACTTTAGCAGAAAAAACCTTATTGCTTTGAGTAAATGGATATAGTCTATCTTGATGGCTGTGAGAAGACGCAGCATGTTTTGTAGTATACGAGCCAGCCATGTTGGATGGATGGTTGGTGGTGGTCTGTTGATGATGCAATTTTACCCCAAAGACAGCCTAGTTGTCACCCAGTCCTATGTAATCTGCAGGTTTTAACAAGTCTGATATCTTGGCAAATGTTCACATATCGAGTTCTCAAGGATTACACACACCAGGTTTTGAAACACTGATCTTTTTAAGTGAACAAAAGTGTTCACAATTAATCATTGCTTGTTAAAGTGGAACTGTATTGCCAAATCCTTTCTTCTCTCATCACCATTGTGCACAATAAAAAAAATAAATGAATAAAGCTATTTCACTGAATTATTTGTAGTTTGAAGCTGTGCATCTTTTCCCTCTGCATATCAGCTGCTTGTGGCATTGCAGATTCTGCCTTTACCATTGCTCCCTGCAGGCATTGACACTGTTGCCTGTCCAGCTGTGGGCAGAAACTGTCGGGACTAGCTATGCCTATGTCCCCATCAAGAGGGTAAAGGTCGGTTTTGCAGCACTAGACCATCAGCTCTCCAGCGGCATTTTGGTGTGCATTCACAGATTCCCCAACACTGCTAACATTGTCATATGGTGTTGGTGGCCTACACTATGAGTGCCACTACACTGTCACATGGTGTTAGCAGCCTTTTACTGACTTTTTTTCTTGTTGTGAAACTCCTTTTGGATGCAGCGCTCAGACATATAAATATTGGGGCATGTATAAAATCATACATCATTGTTTGAGGGATACAGTGCAGTCTGCTGTCAGAATACCCGCACATAGCCGGTAGCTCATTGGCTGCCAGCTCTGTTCATTCGAAAATATTTCCGACCGTCTCCTTCGATCAGCTGTGTGAGGGACGTCGACTGAAAGGATGCCGACAGCGGGACCCACTGTGCAAATTTCGGCCTGCTCATCAAGAACCGGCAAAAATCCATATAGTATATGGCCAGCTTTAGTCTCTCTTGTCTTTTAGAGTCCTCTTTAGCTTCATCGGGGTGTGGCTGGGTCTTTTTTTTTTTAACCATGGTCATGGAACCCTTTATGACCCAAATTGCCAAGTTATTTGTTGGCTCAGATCACAGAGACTAAAAGCATCTGTATCTGCTTTGCCTGCAATGTAGCCGCTTTAGAGACATCAGCTGCAGAGCTCGCCTCTTACACAGTTCGGCTCTTATTGTGCCAGTGTGCACCGTTCAGAAACTAGAGGAATAGCCTGTTGCTATTACAAGTACTGTTTTTAGTCTTGGGTCATTTAAAAAAATACTGAGGCTGCTAAGGCCTTCCTTTTGCACCTGCTTTTTTTTAAACTCTTTTTCTAATGAGATTTGAAGCACCCTGATACGTTGTTTGGCCCCCAAGTGCGTGTTAGCATTGTATTTGTCCGTGTCTCACCCTAACAAGGTGCTTACTATGCCGGTAGAGGATACACCTGTCTTTAAGGATCCAACTAATAAGCAGTTGGAAGCTCTTTCCGGAGATCTGTTCTCATTGGTGGATCCTGTTTTACACCTGATTAATGGCTGTGACTTGGTCAAACCATGTCTGCTTAGTCTATATCCCTTTAAAAGAGATCGAGCTACATCTCGTGTTGATCCATTGTCTATTGAATGCATGCCTGGAGCCAAATTTTGGCTGTAACTATTTGCTGGAAGCCTTTCGTTTCATTTCGTGCATGTGCATCATGTAGGTGCTTATGCGTAGGGCAATTTGGCTAAAGTTCGGGACTGCGGAACCTTTGTGCAAGAAATATTTGATTGACATGGCCTTAGAGATTGTCTCTTCGTGCCTGTTTTTGATCACATTATCATTGATTTTCCTTATCCATAGAAGAAGCTACAGGAGCAGACTGCAAAGTTATCTCCCGCTGTGACTGTTAAGAAATGCCCTTTTACTACTATGTATATCAAAGATGCTCAATACATGTTCCCATCTTTCCAGTGGATCAGTGTTTGCTATTGGCCCACTATACTGCAAGTTTGTGACCCTGCCACTCTCCTCTACCCAAAGTGTATACCACAGTGCCAGCTCTATTGTTAGCATTGTTGCATTCTTGGGCATCCCTAATGTGGGATACTTAGAAGACCTCCAACAGTCAGCGAAGGTCCTGTTGGACAACATATTGCTTAACTATCCAGACATTAGAGGTTCGTTTGGATCCTGAACCTTCAGAAATTGTTGCTGAAACTGACTCGTCGCTTAGATTTTTTGTGCATGGTCCTGGACATGTCTCAGCTCAGAGTTTTCCTTCTCCAGCAGAATGTAAAATACAAACCTTTCAGTCCAGAAGCCTTCATACTCTCCACGTCTGCACAAGAGTCTTAAGGCTGATGATCGCCTCATTTGTGGCAATTAGCTTTACCCAATTGCACCCCAGACATTTACGGTGCAGCATTCTTCTGTCATGGAATAAGTCAGTTTTCCATTTTTCCCTGGGCATGTTGGCAATTGTTTTCTTTATGCCCACCCCTCAGTTGGACTGGTTTTCTAGGGCCCGAAGGCTAAAGACTTCCTGTGTCCCTATGGACAAGAAAGAAAATAGAAATAGAGATAAGTGTAACAGAAAATAGTTTTGATGTTGTTTCCACCTACTATCTCTGCTTTGGAATTCACAAAGTAAAGCACATGTGTTTTGATGTTTACTTTGTAACAACTTCCCTTACCAAAGGGAGGTACTTTGAAGTATAGAGATTATTGGTGGGGTTTATTATAACTCTTTAGCTTTACACCTGTGGCATGTGCATTAGTGGACAGGGTTTTAGCACTTATTTTTGTATGATTTTTGGTTTTTAATAGTTTTCTTAAAGATGCTTCTTGATCTAGTTGCAATACTTTTGGGAAGCACTACGGACTAAATGTGGGCCTGGGCAAGGAAGGGGGGACTTTGGCCAGAAGGTTTCATCTTCAGTGACCCACCCTTAAGGCATCTGTTATATTTCTCTAGTCTATTAATATAGGGCATAGTGGAAAACATAAACCACTTTTACCAGTAATTTGTTTCCCAATGGTAAAAGTTGTATCCTGTTCCTGGCATTCAGCTTTAAAGAAAACATGTACAGTTGGACAAATGGAAGGCTGCATTTGATGACCATCTGAAAATGTTGCTTGTCTGGCTGTCATGCTAAATCAAGCTAGTGATCAGAACAAGCATGCAGATTAGGAGCTCTGACTTCACTGGTTGCATGTGGGTGGCTGCAAGATTGTGTCAGTCTGAAGTAAATAATAAATACAGTATTCCTTGCCTTTTTTTAGTGTT